ATTGGTCTAATTAGGTCTTAAGAACGTATCACGTTTTATCGATTGCGATTGTTTTGTCTTAAGGTAGATGTGATTGAGAAGATTAATTGTCATAATTCAATAATTGATGATGCTAGAATTGTTTTTGATAATTATTCCCAAAGACTCAACAAATTTTACAGATTATCTATATGATTTTCGAAAAGTTAATCATTAGAGGGTTTATGATTATTCACTTGTTGATCTCTTATTGAAATAGAGAATCTGAGTTCACTAGAGCATTGGTGATTTTGCTTATCCATGTTGTGGTTTCTTTTGGATGATGTATGGGTTTGAATTGTTGTTCAAGTTTGGTTTTTGTGGCTTCTGGTTCAATTTTGTTATGATGCTGTTTATGGTTTAACCAAGTGGGTGATGTTCTAGGCTGGACAAGAGTCTTTTAGATCCATCACCAGATCATATTACAGAGGAGCAGCCGGAGCTTTACTGGTTTACGACATCACCAGGTTAGTGTTTTTTCGTTACGGTATACTTCACCTCGAAGCCTGAATTTCCAGCAAGGTTTGGAAATTATCACTTCTATATTCTTGGGCAAACTGTTAAGCTTAGACCCTTGAAAAGGTTTTGAAAATTGGTATTTCTTGAGCGTTTTTAGTATATGTACATGTTCCGTGAAGTTGTGTTCTGAATAAAGTTCTTGGTTATGATATTGCTATTACTCTTTTGGGAAGATGTTATTAAGCTAATCATCCACTTGAATCTTACTTAACTAAACTTGTGATGTTGTTCCTCCATTGTTATGAAATTGTGATAGGTATATACGACAAAAATAAAATAAAAAAGAATTGCAAGAGTTTTATCATTGAGTTCTTTCAACCTTTGATCTTTCTGCTCTCAGAAATTGAAAGTATTGTTCTTTTGGTTGCAGGAGAGAGACGTTCAACCATCTGGCGAGCTGGTTGGAGGATGCTCGGCAACATGCAAATCCTAACATGAGTATTATGCTGATCGGGAACAAATGTGATCTTGCTCAAAAGAGAGCTGTTAGCAAAGAGGAAGGAGAACAGTTTGCCAAAGAACATGGACTGCTGTTTCTAGAAGCATCTGCAAGAACAGCTCAAAACGTTGAGGAGGTGACACTACTTCCTTACTCTTTTCCCTCCATACTGTTATTTGACTGCAATACAGAAATTTCTGAAGAACTTGTCTTCACTTTACTGGATTTAACATTCTTAATATCGCTAATATATCAACAGGCCTTCATAAAGACTGCAGCGAAGATCCTTCAGAACATTTCAGATGGAGTCTTTGATGTATCCAATGAGGTAAATCATCTCCTCCTGATTCTGGAAGCATCTTAATTTTCTGGTGTTTTAATCTTGTTAAAGCTACACAAATCTCTTCTCTGGTAGTTATGTTATCTCGATATGGGTTTTGTGAATCCCAGGGATTCCTTTTGTGGTTGTGATTCTAATTGTTGTATTACTACACATCGACCGTATCTAATCCCTTGATCGGGTTACAATCTGATCTAACTTCCTTGATCTCTCTGGATTTTGCAGTCATCGGGCATCAAGGTTGGATATGGGCGTCCTCAAGGTGCAGCTGGAGGAAGAGATGGTGCGATCTCGCAAGGAGGTGGCTGTTGTGGGTAAAGAGTGACAATGTCACAGTCCCACACATATCCGATGTAATCTGGTGATTCAGAAACTACTCTTGCTTTTTATTAATCTTTGCAAATGGATACACCAGAAGAATGTATAGTTTTCTTTTTTCTTTCTCTTGATTTTCCAAGTTTGTCTTTTACCCCAAAAAAAAATTAAACCGGTGCATTTGAGAGTGAACAGCCTGATCTTTATAAACCAAACAGGCGTTGGCTTCTATATATAAAAAAAAAACTTAATTGATTTATCCAGATTCTAAAACAATTTGAAATCAGAATAATATCCAATCCTAAAGTTGAGGTTTCTTCTCTAGTGGTTTGTTTGTTTGAAGTCTCTTTATTCTTCAAAACGACTGGTTTTAAAAACATACCCAGGTGGTTTACAGAGATCCTATTAAGCAAATAGATGCAGAAAATCAAGAAAGCCATGATCATTTTACTTCTTCCTCTTGGTTCTTCTGCTTTAACGCCGAGAAGACAATGAACCCTGCTGAAGGCGCAAGGTATTGTATGTGCGCGTTACTAACATCAGTCTCGGATCGTCTTCTGGTATTTCACGTTCCTGTGATTCACACACCACAAAAAAAACCAAAAACTCATCGATAACTAAGATTTAGGTTTCTACTTGAGCAAAAAGAGGTTTCTTGTTCTTTTTTACTTTCAAGCCCTTGTAGTAAGCTTCAACAGCAGATAATGTAGGTTGAATATTCCGAGCTAGCATCAGATCCCATATCATGTTTGCAACTGTGTACCCGCCCGTCTGCAAAACAAGGTAAGAGTTTTTTTTACCCAACTCTTTATGGCAAAGATAGATATTGTTGGGGAATTCTGGAAGATTTGTTTACCTTTTCACCAGCGGCCTTCTCAAGCAGATTGCTTCCAGTTCTTGGGTCTAAGAAGAAATTGCGATCATTCATCTTGACCTGCATTAACGAATAAATTGTCATCAGATTTACAGGTATAGGCTCTATCATTGGCCAAGCGCCCATTAACTCGGTTAGTTTATTTCATGGATTCTTCTTTACGTACAGCTTGAGCCTATAAGCATTACCAGAGTGTTTTGAGCAATCTGCATTCCTTCCTCGGTGTAATCTGTCATGGCTCCCTCTATAAGCGTCTGTAGCAGCAACAACAAATAAATTTATACAGGTCACCCAGAGATATACTGAACCAGATAAGCGAAACAAGAAAGAGAAGCGTAATCGTATTTGACTATTGGTTTAATTGTGAATAAAATTTGTTTTATAGAAGTTTTCATCCCCGCAAAAAAATATTGGAAAGAAACAAGTAAACAAATTTTGAAACACCAATGATGAGATCAGATCATATTTACCGTGTAGAGTTCCATGGCAGGGATTTTGTCTGCTCTCATGTAATCTTCAAACCATTTGAGACCATTTTCAAAGTCTTTCGAGTGTAGATAGCACCTGTGTAGATATAAAATAGGAATGCACGTGCGATAGTCATGTTTTGATTCTCACAATACTAGTACCAAAAATAAACTTGGTAGCTAAAGACTCCCTTTTAACCCATAACAATGTCAACTGTTTTAACATCTAAATGCAAATTTCATAACCGCATATATGTATGCTAGGCCAATTCCGATAGTGGGCAAAGATACTGGCACAGAAAAGTGACGTCTAATATTGTCACTCGAAGAATCACAGTGCATCTCAAGAAGAGCTTCTTTTGTACCTCATAATTTGTAGCACGCAGTAAGTGTCAGTGTCTTTTCCGTCTTTCTTAAGCATATCAAGAAGAGCTGCTGTTGCCTGCCATGTAGAATTTCTGGTCAGATGCAAAATTCAACTCCGAAACTGGCTTTTGTTACTCCCAGAGCGGGACAATTTGGATTATAGATGCACAGAACATCTTACTTTTACATCCTTTAGATCAGCGAGAGCACTGAATGCTACATGGTACACGGTCAAATTCCTCTGCAGAAACCTGGTCCTATGGGCATATTCAGCGGTTGGAATATTGTACAGCTCTTCTTCAGTGATGCTAAACATCACATCTTCTGCACTCTTCCTTGATGAATCAATTGATGACCAGCCTTTTGACTGCTCCACGAACTCGAGAATCTTTTAAGAAAAAATAGAAGGATATGAGAAAACCTACAAATAAAAACTAAAGAAAATACGAACAGGAAACATTCACAGGTTACCTTGGAAGAAAGATTATCTGGTCTAGGGTGCTTGTTTAAGTGTGCAGTTATGAGTCCTGCATAGCAGAACTGGTTCAAACCAACACCAGCTGCAGTCATATCTCGAACTATCGCATACCTAACCATTATTTGAAGTAAGATATGGAAAAAAAATTAGATCACTTCTTAGATTGCGCATAAGAGTTAACCAGATACTTACTTATAACGAAGAAAAGAGACATAGAAACTTATTCAAAAGAAATCAGTTCGATTTGTGAGCACTAAACAGAGTATAAAGCAGTAACCTACACAAGATCTAACTGGCCAGAAACAGCGCAGGCATTGAGCAGGCAAACAAAGGTCTGCCCATTTGGTTTTACGTCATATCTCTTCATTTCGTCATAGACCTTTCAATAAGAGACAAACCGGTTCGCAATATGAATGATGATTAAGTAATGGAGAAGAATAAAAGGTCTCCTACTAAAGCAAAGGGTAAATGACATACTCGGATCGCCTCCTTTCCATTCTTGCATTTACCACATGTGGAAATCAAAAAGTTGTATAAGTTCACCTACAAGAAAGAACACACAGTCAACAACACAAGCCACAGATGAACAGACTCATTCTGTAAAGCTTAAATTATTGGACAAGGAATCGCTCAATCTGCGGCTGAACTCTCAAATACTAAGACCAACCAAAACCAGAGAAAGTTATACAACTTCTCTTAGGATCATAAATCAGAAAAGAAAGATAACAAGACATACATCTGGAGCAATTCCCATGGCCTTCATTTCTTCTCGGAAAAAGAACGCATCACTTAACCGAGCACCCTTCATTACTCCCACAACAAATGAATGGAATATATCAGCTGTAGGCTGTACTCCATCTAGCTTCATATCATCATAAACATCCCTCAACAGATAATGCCTACCAAACACAAAACATCGTCATATAAACACACATGAGGGACTGAAGTAAAAACCATATGCTTATCTTTAACTGGATTTCCTTTAAACACAATATCAAGAACATATAGTCAAAGAAAACCAAGTATCCATTACTATGGTAACAAAATTCTCAATCCCCGCCACATTCATATTGGATATTTCAGTACTATGAACACAAGGAAGAAGCAATATGTAAAAAAAACCTGCGCTGAGCTGTGACGGAATTGACGGCAGAGTTGTATTCCGAGAGATCGTTAGCATAATTCCTCTTCGCAAGTTCCTCCGGCGATGTAGCGAAGTAACGCCGACTAACCAGAGCTCGAACCAGAGATCGATTCCGCCCTATTTTATCAAACATAAGCATTCGTGCAGGCACTCAGAAATGATGAATGCGCAATCAAACGAATCGAAAAGTAGGCACGAACAGAGATCGATTGTATAACTGATGAAAATGGGATCTATCTGGGTTTAGAACACAAAGGAGATGTTCATAGGAGCTTACCAGAAACGGATTGAATGAGAAACTTCATAGCTCACGAGTTCTGCCGGAAATTTAGTCGGCAATCGTTAAACAAACCAAAAAAAAAACAAGCTTTTCCGGTGAGTCTCAGATCACGAGAGAGTGAGAGGAAAGCTGTTTCTGCCGTCGGAACAAGGATATAGCAAGAGCTCAGGGTTTACTGGTTGAGGGAGTGCACATAAACCGGAAAATATAAAACAAATTGAACCGGGTTTAAACCGGTTTGATTTTAACGGCTCGCGCTTTCTGAAGACTAATGAGAAAATGCTGACTTTTACCATGGGCCCTTTCATGGGTTATTGGGCTTAATTTGAAGACTAAATGACGTTTATCACGTGGCGATCATGTGATTTTATCAACTGCAAACGATTGTGCCACGTGTAACCATAGAGCTATTTATAGTTGGGATCTCCCAACTAAAAACTTTTAAATCTGTCGGAAGATCACGTGAAGACAACTAATATTTGTTCTTGCGTTAAGTGAAAAAATTATTGACCAAGAAAAAAAAATATTTAATCAAAGCTCGTGAAATTTGATAATGAACTTTATTTATAACGAATTTCAAACATTGGTTACCAAGACTAAAAAATCAGATACAACATCTAAAACCTTTTTGTTTGTAGAAAAAGCTAGGGTTTTAGTTAAAGAAAAACTTTTTTTTTTAAACTTAGTTAAATAAAAACTTCTAAATTTTGTTTAATAGAAATATAGATTGATTGTTGAATATTTTTGATGTAGTGATTGAGCAAGATATTAAAAAGTTTTTACATTTTACCTTTACTCGTTGGATTTAAACCTTTTTGTGAATCTTCAAGGATCACGAGGAATATGCAAGAAAAAAACAACCATAGCTTTAATAGAATTATATTATCATTAAAACTAAAAAATATGAAACTCAAGAGCATCCTCGTACGTATAATACCATTTGTAATTAATGAAAAGCTTATCTCTAACAAGGTCCATTTTTTTTTTCTTTTGCTAAAAACAAGGTCCATTCTGAATAACTTGTTTCCTTATTTTTCAACTAAAAAAATCTGCTATTTTTTGTTTTTAATAGTACTATTTTATTTTCTTGACATTAATACTCAAGTCACTTTAATGCTTTTGTATCTCAGTGCCAACAAAATTCTTGGGAAACAAACATTATGATATCGAGAAAGAGACATACAGATCCATCCAACTGCAAGTTTACAATACAAAAACAAAAAAAAGTCTCTCATGACAATTGCGTTTGCCAAAAAATGACATTGTAATCTAATTACGTGTTGGTTCTTAAAAAAAAAAAAAAAGGAGAGAGAGAGTTAATTACGTGTTGGTGAGTAATAATGTTTTGCGTAAATGTTAAAGCTAATCAACAAACCAAATCAAGAAATATGATTTGGCATGATAATATCTCCTGATGGTCCCACTAGCCACAAATTCAACACAGAGAATTCAATTCCTTTCCTTCACGTCATAACTAGAAGAATAATACCAAAATTCAATCACTTCAAAGTTTGGTGAGACCAACACACAATTTAAGTCTGATTTTAAATGGATTTGGATCAGTTTCTCTGAGTTTTTCAACTTTCAAGATCAACAAAATTCAAAACTTTTTTCTTTTCTTTTCATTTCTTTGTACATATAGAGTCTTAACCACAAGATTACGACCACAT